CATTGTTGTTTGGTGGGCCCGGGCTGGATTCGAACCCACCACCTTAGGTGTATGTGGCTGGCACCTTAGCCACTTGAGCCACAGGTGCCGAGCCGTACCTGCAGATTTTTATGAAAATTATATATAGAGACAGGGTCTCACTATGTTGCCCAGGCTAGTTTTGAACTGCTGGCCTCAAGCAGTCCTTCCCCCTTGGCCTCCCATGTGCTGGCATTACAGGTGTGAACCACTGCATGTCAAGGGCGTGCCATAGTTTCAGCTTGTCCCTCTGGTGTACGATTCTACAGGTTTTAGTTATTACAATTATTATGAAAAGGTACTCAGTCTTTTCCTCTATATCACTGATCAGCATCTTACTGTCTTACTTCTTCACTGGTACTTCCGTGAGGTCCAGGACTTTGCTTCCTGCTTTACTTGTAGTGTCTGAGACAGCACCTCCCACATGGCAGGCGTTGGGTGAACTGGTGTGTTCATGCATCTTTGCATGTGCTCCTTTGTTCACAGCTGCTCCAAGAAACATTCTGAGGAAAGAAGATGTTGGATTGTGGATGTGTGTTTTACAGATGCTGCAGGTTGCCCATCAGGATAAATGGTCATACCCATTGACCACCTCACCCTTGTAAATGTTCTGGGAGTATTTTCTCATTGTATATCTGATGGGTGAAAAAATGGTTCCTCATTGTTTCAGTTTGTGTCTACCTGGTAACTGTGCGTGTGAACACATTTCCATTTGTCTTTTGACTGCGTTTTTTTCTGTGGCTTAATGTAAAATAATGATTCAAGACTCCTCCAGCACACAGAGGTTCTTGGCAGTTTGGAAATAATGTACTGACTTTTACTATTCTTTTCAGGTCACTCAGCCAAAGGACCTCGGAAATGGAGTATATTAACAAATACAGACAGCTGGAAGCACAAGAATTTGATTTGTATGGCAGTGACCAACCAAACAGTGGGCCAGGTAAACAAGTATCTTTAAATATCTCAAACATGATGCATGCGTAGTTCACATGTTAAAACATTAAGTTCTTAAAAGTCCTTAAGAAACAAAGTATTTTTGTCAAAGTAAGGAATCCACACTGTTAATTCAGGATTTTTTGGGTGAATTAGGATGAATGTGTGTTAAGTTGTAAAATGTTTATTTTTAATACTTTTCTATCTTCAATATAGTTCCTAAATAATCTATCTGTGGAAGACTAATAATTGTGCCTTTTTTTGTGTGTTGAGACAGAGTCTCACTTTATTGCCCTCAGTAGAGTGCTGTGGCATCACAGCTCATAGCAACCTCAAACTCCTGGGCTTAGGTGATTCTCTTGCCTCAGTCTCTCGAGTAGCTGGGGCTACTGGCGCCCACCACAATGCCCAGCTTTTTTTTTTTTTTTTTTTTTTTAATTTGACCAGGGCGGGTTGGAACCTGCCACCCATGGTATATGAGGCCAATGCCCTACCCACTGAGCCAGGTGCTGCCTAATCGTGTCTTTCTTTACTATAACTTAAACTGCTTACAATTTTCATTAAACTTACAAGAGCCTTTTTTTTTTTTAACAATAAACATTAAAGTGAAGTTTTAAACAATGCAGAAATGTACAAAATAAAAAGTCCTTAAATCCCACTGCCCCAAGGGTACAATATTTGGAGTAATTTACTTTCTGTTTTTTTTTTTTTTCTTTTTGAGACAGAGTTTATGTTTCCCTCGGTAGAGTGCTATGGTGTAACAGCTCACAGCAACTTCAAACTCTTGGGTTTAAGTTTCTTGCCTCAGCCTCCCAAGTAGCTGGGAGTAAGGGCGCCCTCCACAACGCCCAGCTATTTTTTTTTGTTGCAGTTGTCATTGTTGTTTAGCAAGCCCCTGGCCGATTTGAACCTGCCAGCCCTGGAGTATGTGGCCGGTGCCCTACCCACAGAGCTACGGGCACTGAGCCATTTCCTTTCTTAATATGAAGTTTTTTTTCCGAGATAATTTTCTTTTTAGCATCAGGCCCAATTTGTAGGGCCTGATGCTAACAGGCCTTTTAATTGCCTTTAATTTTTTGCTTTCTCAGAAGATTATCTATTACAAACTTCTGCCAGCAGAACTGTAAAGCTCTGCCTTTTGCCCTCTCACTTTGTACAGATGTGCTTGGGAGACTGAAGGGCAGGAGTGTGGTTCAGGTGATATTGTCGTGACCCCTAAGGCCCTGGTCTCAGTCGCTGCAGGAAGGAACCGGGTGTGACATGAATTAGAAGTACAAGCTTGAGGGAGGCGGGCTAACCTTAAGTACAGTGTAGCCCTAAGCCCCTTTCTGCGACAGCTATTTATTAAGGTTTTACACGACAAGTGTAGAGAGTTAAGGTAATTACATATGAG